TTCTTCTCAACCCTTCAAGTTTCCAGCCTTTATAAAAACTAGTCCATTGCCTTTTAATTTTATCATTTAGCCCCAATTAAAATTGGGTTATGACACCAAGCTTAAAAGGATTGCTTCAAACTGTATAATGCACATCTTAATCGATATACCTTGTTTGGATGACGATTGAGTCTAGGAGGTGGTTTCATATAGACTTCTTCTTCTTGGTCAACTTTAAGAAAAGCATTTTTCACATCCATTTGAAACAATTTCCATCTTTGTATAGTAGCGACAACAAGTAAACTATGCAAAGATGTGAGATGAGCAACTGGAGCAAATGTTTCCTCATAGTTTATTCCATACTCCTCTATAAAACCCTTGACAACCAAGCGTGCCTTATAACGCTCCACAGAACCATCAAATCACATTTTGATCTTGAACACCCATTTATAGTCTATTAGAGACTTTTCAACAAGGAGATCAACTAAATCACATGTACGAGTGTTATTAAGAGCTTGCAATTTATCTTGTTTAGTTTGCTACCAAAAAAGGTCAAAAGAGGCCTTTTGATTAGATTGAGGCTTATATAAAGAAGTAATAGCAAGAAAACAATGATAATCATAAAGGTAGTTGTCAGGATTTCTTGCCTGAGTAGGATGACTTGAGGGTGGGATAACAAGCTCATTTTTAGGCTTAACAATGTCAGATGCAACACCAATAGGTGATATAGATTAGAAAGTGGAAGAAGGCCTATAATTATTTAATGCATTACCAGTAGGTAGACCATCTTTTGTAGAACTAGTTAGAGTATGTAGTAAGGAATTGTAGAGCTCATCAGATGTACCCGCATCAAAATCACTAGGAAATAGCTCAATAAAAGGATTAGTAAAAGTGGAGATTGATCAAAGGATGACGCTTTGAAGTTTGACAATTATGAGAACATAATGTGTTCCCAAAAGACGACATGATGTGAAACTCAAAATTTTTGTTACATAGAATCCCAACAACGATATCCTTTATGTGTAATCTCATAACCCAAAAAACAACATAGTTGAGCTTTAGGCTTTAACTTGTTATGTTTATGAGGTGGAAGAAGAACAAAACATGTTGTACTTATGATTTTGATGATTACAAAACAAACTTGAATTACTAATTTGTTTATTTAAGTGTTTAGTTTATAACCTGAAAGCTAGCAAGAGTAAATGAGCTTGGACTGCACTGCAAAAGAACTAAAATGCTAAAATTGGTGTAGAGAGTCGGTTATGATTTTCTACAATCAACTTTTGAGAAATGTAGAATATATGATGAAGTGCAAAGAGCCAGCTCTATAATTCTACAGCCGGCCCTAGTGGAGAAAAATGTAGAAAGCTGGCTATGAAAGCTGCAACTGGTTTTATGAGTGAAAAGTTCAAGCCTATAGTTTGATGCACATGGAAAATAGACGCAAAGTTAGTTATGATTCTTCAGATGGTTATGATGGAGCATTTAATGATCAATGGTCAAAATTTTCAAAGATTTTGTAATCTTTTGAAGTCATGTTTCCTAAATTGGCTTTGTGTTTTGTAGCTAGCTCAATAGAAAAATAGAAAGTGTAGATGGAGCAGGATAACTAGCTTTGGATATGATAGCTTGCTCTGAAGGTATAGTTGGTTCTACTGACATAGTTTATAGCGTATTTTCTCGAACTTAGATTGATTTGCAAAACATTAAATGAACCCTCACAGCTAGAAATGATTATTTTTTACCAAAAGGGTATAAATATAATTGGTAGAAGTCTTGCAACTAGTTTGAGACATTTTTCATTGTATATCCTTCATCTACCAATTTGTGATTCTTGTGCTTTAACTTGAGATTTTGATCGTTGAGTGATCTTTACTTGTAAACTTATACTTGTTTTCTTTGATAGTTATGTTGGGGGTGTGATTATTCCTTTAATAGTGATTTGTAGTGAGGATTGTTGAGTTTGTCTTGTAAAGGGGAGAGATTTGTGAGAAAACGCATCTTCTTGTAAAGGGATTGAGTGGCTCCTTTAAGCAACTTTTGTTCTTGTTAATAGTGGAGAGTGTGGAGGAAATCCTTGGTGAGTGGAAGCTAAGGTAGAGGACTAGGTTCCAAGTGGTTGGACCGAACTTTTATAAAATCTTTGTGTAAGCTTCTCTTCTCTACTCTCTTTGATTTTTTGCTTTGTGGTTGCAAAGAGGAAGAAGTTTTTGAAACTCCAATTCACCCCCCCCTTTTGGAGTGCATTGAGCCAACAAAACAAGTACAATAAAAAACCTTAAAAAGATCATAAATAGGGAAAATACCATGCAAATGTTTGTATGGAGATTGCTTATTGATGACTGATGATGGAATTTGATTAATAAGATAAACGGTTGTAAAAGTAGCTTCACCCTAAAATTGCTCTAGACAAGAAGACGAAATGACCAAAGCACGAACAAAATCAAAGTTGTGTCTATGTTTGCATTTGGCTTACCAATTCTATTCAGAAACGTAGGGACAAGATTGTCATTAGTGTACCTTGTACTTTGAGAAAAGATTGAAGTTTAGTACTAAGATGAATTGGTAGCATTGTCAATTCTCCGAACTTTGACAATTTTAGAGAATTGGGTTTTTACCATGGTAGCAAAATCAATTGTGGTAATTTAGAGTAATTTTTCATTAGATAAATCTAAGTAAAATGAGTGTGATCATCAATAAATAACACAAAGTACTTGGAACTCCCCTATGATGGGTGTATGAGATGGACCCCAAACATCAGATTGCTTGAGATCAAAAGGAGAAGTAGAAAGGGAATGACTGCTCAAAAATGATAAAGTTGGTTGTTTTGCAGATTGACATAGTACACAATGTAAGGATTCATTCTGAACAGATCCTAATAAACTACGAGAGATAAGAGGAGGAAGTTTACCAACTAAGGTGTGTCTAAGTCGTGAGTGCCACAAATGAAGAGGAAAAATGTTAATAGCAGCACATGTAACACCCCATATACTTTAGTGAATAGATTAAAAATTGGAGTATTTTATTTCATAGTTTTAAGGATTAAATTCATTGGATTTAGAATTTGGGGGTTCTAAGTAGAATTTAGTAAGAGTTAAAGGATGTTTAATTGAATTATTCCAATTTTGTGCCAAGTGGCACCATATCAACCGAGGTAAACAATTTTGTTGGGCTTCACATAAAAGCCTTCTAAACCCATCCTTTCTCTGCATCTTTCCTCCTTATTCTAATCGGTCCCTTGCACCCTTCTTTCTTTTACAGTCGAGTGTAATGTGTGGGGATTCACTCACCAGTTGGAATTACTTTCAATTTCTACTGTTTGCCTCAACTTGGTGCTTTGATTTCCAAGCAAGTATGAGTTTTAGCTATAGATTTGGGTTAGAGTTTTGGGTTAATTATAGATTTTGCTATTATATACTAAAATTAGTTTAAATTAGTGAAATCTAACTCTAAATCTTTTGTTTAAGAGATTTTTGGGTATTAAAATTTTGTTTAGCAATATTTGGAATTTTGGGTATATGTACGGTTTTGAAGTTTGAAGTGGGTTTTAGTTTTATGCTTGAATCTTGTGTGAATTTTATTGGTTATTTACTTGCTATGGTTGTTTTGATATTTCCTTGTACATTTGTGTGGAGACTTTTAGAAATTTCATGATAAAGCAAGACTTGTGAGTGCTTAGTTGGAGTTTGGGTGCTGGCCGTGACATGTTGCACATGATTTTTGGTTGATTAATCATGTAAAAATGGGGAATTATATTCTTGTAATTATTTCGAATGTGCTATGAATTTGTCTAACATGTGTATGTATTTGTAACTATAGAGTAAGTTGACCTAAGCTTAAAGCTTGGGGTATTTAGTGGACCTCTGCATAGTAGGGTTAGTACCATGATTAGCTTTAGTACAAGTGTTGCTAACACACATCAGTGGACTCTATAACATTGTGTGATTTTGATTTATGCATTTTGCCGTGACATCACATTTGTGAGCATATGGTTTTATAATATGAATTTGATTTAAATGTCATTGGTTATTCCTTGGCATGTTTGATTATCTGTAAGTTAATTTGTAATATTAAATTATTATTTAAATATAAAGATTTATAATATTATGTAACTTGGTTTAATTGTCTATTATGATCTTGTGTGTAGGTCTAAGGATCTTAGGACCCAAATTTGTAGCTCTAACTTAATGCTTACTAGGCTTTTAGCTCATGGTGTTCTCCCTCATTTCAAATTAATAGGTTGGAGTAGCAGCCACTTAACTTGAGAGCTTTCGGTATAGGTTTCATATGCCCCTTATACGTAGAAGCTAGGACCTCAAGGCTTTTGATGTGAAGGCAGCTTAATGTGTTATCAAAACGATAATTTCGCTTTTATTATTTTGGAAAGTTTTTTAAAGGCATTTGCTTTCATGTATTTTTTGTGTAAATTGCTTATATATATAATATTTAAATAAATCAAAATGGGCTTAGCTTAGTTTATTTTATGACTTTGAGTATTTTGATATTTTCCTTAAGATATTTTCCATTAAATTAGTTTTTCTTTACATGTAATTGATTTTCTTTTTATAAGTTTTAAATTGATTTGAAAGCAAGTTTTTCTCGTAAAGAAACATTTTATGGTAAAAAGGTTTTTACTTTTGTTGCAATATTTTTCTACGGTTCTTATTTTATGACTTCTTAAAGGTCCTATGCTAACTATAAGCCATGCTTAAAAAAAATCCTTAAGGCAAATCTGTATCTGTCCAAAACTTTCATTTGGCTATGCAATTTTCAGTCTATCTTGTACTATTATTGAGCCTAGGGATAGCATACAAAATGAGCCTTTTAATTCTATAAATGTTTTCTGCTATTATTTTTTATTTAGTGCGGTACATTTCCCTACTTGATAAACCAAAAGGTATACCAAAAGGGGGATGTTATGACACAAGCTTAGAAGCTTTGTTGATATGGAATTCGTAAAGACTTTAACTCAATAGCACAAAGCAGGGTTTGGATGAAATGAACATTTAAAAATGATGGTATATCCATTTTATGATACGGAATATGTTAATAATTTAGCGCAAACATATGCCCCACCTTATGACCAGTTCCAAGCCTTCCTACGGCCAGCGTGTGCGAACCCTGTCGCTAGCCTCTGTTCCCCCCAACTGATGGATGGAACCGTCCCTCCCCCCGCCCACTCCAGACCCGTGTGCTTTGCTTCATGCGTCATTGCTGCTACGATGCAATGCTTCGGCGTTGGCCCTGCTACGCTCACGTCCTGGCACTACCCCACCGTTGGGCTCCCAAGTCATGGAATCAATCCACCCACCCCCTCCCCCCCACACTCGAGAGCAGCCACGTGCTTTCTCCCTACAAATTTCTGTTCACAACTTGTTGCTAGAGTCGTTGCTACTGCTGCGATGCAATACTTCTTCGGTCATGTGCTGTGTTGTTGCAG